TTCTGGATTAAAGACAAGACGTTTTAAAAAAAAAATTAATCCATCTAGAGGACCTGACTTAACTTTATTAAACCTAGTTTATTTTTCTGAAGCGGATATATTTAAAACATTTTCACCCAATTTCAAAGTTTCTTTTAAAAAATGAGTTGGTTGCGGAGAAAGTGCAGTTTATGTTTCTCAGCCTGAGCAACGGTTCTTCAAAAAGAGACATTTATGACCCCAGTCTAAAACACGAAGTGGATGTTTTCATCTAGACAGCAGAATCAGCCTGTGTATAAATGTTTTATGTTTGATGACGACGATTGCTAAAAAAGTGAGAATGCATTCAGTCACGTTTCAAATTCTAAAAGATATATTTAATACTGGTTATCTTTTTAGTTAGGGTTCAATTCCAAATAAAACAAGAGTTAATAGGAATTTCAAACCATTCCTTCTGTTCTGGGGTTATATTGAATCTCCTAACGTAAATTTAAATGATCCCTGTGTTATTTGTGCTATGATACAAAGTCTTTTAAGGCAGGCGTTGTGAGTGTCCATAGCAGCTGAACAGTTAGCATGTAACCTAATGTTATACCCAGGTTAGGTTTGTGTTACCATGTTTTTATGTCGTCATTATTCTAAAAAGACAGTAACAGTTAAAATATTTTTTGTTAAAGTTGGTCCACATTTCTGTCAAGTTCTCAGATATGCCAGGGGGGAGATATAACACCACCAAACAACATGCAGTAACTGCCTTTCGTCTAAAATGTACAAATGCACAATCAGCTCGTTGCTTTTGCTGATATCAAGAGACAGACTGCTGTCACACCAGCTGACCCAAAAGAAGTGAACCCTGTTCTCACTGACGTAGATGTGACATTATTTTAGCATGGACAATTTATAATCAAAGAGCAACTGCAACACAGAACTCCTAGGAAGCTCCTCTCCCCAGGGAGTCATCGCTCCTCCATCCCTGTACAGACTTTTGCTTCCATTATCGCGGCCATCCATTTTTATTTTACAGACTGACAGTAAACACCATTTCCAAGCTTGTCACAATGAGACTGCCATAGTTTCCGAGTTACAATAACGAGCAAATGTAGGGAACGTGTCCTTATGCTGCTCCACCGAGTTGTATACCCTCAGCTAGCATAGTCTCTGCATTCTATCATTGTATCATCTCCTTCCGCGAGTTGTTTGATTATTTTTATGAATTTTATTTGACTATTTTTTATAAGTCTTTATGGAACCATTTCAAGGATAGTTGAATTTTTTAACAGCCTTGATCAGCTGTTCCTCAGTCAAGCAGTTGAAATGCAATCCACATGTCCGAATAAACACGCCAAGAGCAAAGTTCTAACCAGTTAAATGACAGTTGACACATACCCACAACAAAGTTCTGCCAGGAGCTTGTTCATAGTACAGGTTCTCTGAGCTCATGCAACATCAAAAGTATGTAAGTTTCATCCCACAACTCTGTCAGCAACTTTTTATTCCTCTAGTTCTCAAGGGGTATGAATATAGCTTTGAGATGTTTAACCATTATTGCTGTGGAGTGCCACCACGGTTGTATTCTCAGCTCATTTAATGAGCTGCTTTGTGATTTAGCAGCACATTCATGAATCGGAAAAATTAAAAACAAAGGACTAAGTACACTTCCCTGAGGAACACCTTTGAACGTGATATCTTACTACAAACTATATTGCCTTCCTGACAAAGTCCAACGTATAGTCACAAAGTGAGGTTATCAGTCTAAACATAAACTGGATCAGAGAATTTAGGTTTCTGTCACAATAGATCCATTATAGATGAAGAACAGTCAGTGACGAGATGAAAACAGAACTTTAACTGCTTTTATTTTAACGTGTTTGTGTGTATGTGAATGCATAAAAAGAACACAAAAAGTATAACTTTTGTCTCTTTATTATATATCTATATATATTTAAAAAACTACAAAACACTGTTCCAAATTTAATAAAAGCATTGCATATATATATATATATATATATATATATATATATATATATGCCCATTTCTGTAGTATGTACAGGTCCAATGGAGCAATCAGCAGATACATTTTTCTCTGTGTGCATTTGTGTTGTATTGCATAGAAAAAGGCACAGTTCTGAACCTTCATTAAAGGAATGAGCCTGGATGGTGGTCAGTCCATATTTTCCCACCACCACATGCTCAGACAGCGCTAAAAACGATTTGGTGACAAACACTGATTGAAAAGTCTCTGGATTATTATTATTATTTTTTTTTGTCTTCCTTTCATTGGTTTTGGCATTGAAGCATCAATGACGGGCTTTGGAGTATTGACATCTGATGGTCGGAGACAGGATTTTTTTCTTCTAAAACCTTTCTGAATGAATTGTTTGCTTTCAACTGGAAAATGAACCAAAAAAGTATAAAATATATAAAAAGTCATGGCTGTCACCCCAGAAAAAACAACAAATCTATAACAAAAGAACAAGCAAACGCATAACATACCAGATAAGTAGATGTTTGTTAAAAAATGGCTTTCACCCAATATTCCATTCTCTGATACATTCCTGACTAAAATACATTCTGTACACACATTTACAATCCATATGTTCACATCAAAAATAAATATATTTACACAGAAAAATAAACAAACATGAATAAATAACATGAATGGGAATCCACACACAAAAACAAGTGAGTCGTCTGCAAAGAAGAATGGATGGGGCCCGACTCACAAACTGCATTCAGTTTAAAGTTTACATAAACTGGTTAAGTCCAACACTGAAGAACAATGATGTGCCTGCTGTCTCGGTCAGTCCTCCACACAGAGAAGGTTTAAATCAGACACATTAACACCGCTCCAACCCAACGTCAAACCAGCACCACAGGACTTAGGGCTTCTTCCACCACTTCATGACTTAAAAAAACAAACAAACAAACAAAAAAAACAAGCAAAACCCATTTTCTGACGTTTTTAGTTCCTGATGATGTTCCCACCCTTTGGACCATAACTGCTGTGGGGTATCACCACAAAACTGAAACCAAAACTTATATTTTGAGGTTTGAAATGAGCCAAAACCAGAATGTGACAAAAGATTTATGTGCAGCATGGATTAAACAGTACTAACATATGAGATAAGTACCAATGACTTTTTCTTAATTAATATTACAATTAAAACAAAATAATAATTCTCTGTCACCTATAAGCAACAACAGGGGAGCTCATAATAGCTTCATTTGTTTCAAAGTGTTTATTGATATTACTAACTGGGACATGACTGTTTAATGGAAGTTACGTGTTAGATATATGAAATCAGAGGATGAAATGAGTAATGTTTGTTCCATCCTTTCATTTTTGGTGTTTTTGTGCCAAAACTGTTGTGTCGTTTCAAACAGCAGTGTTGCAGCATCAGGTTAACACTGTGATTTTGGTTTCCACACTTCAGTGGAAATCTGTGTTCAAATGATTCAGACTTGGACCTTTTGCTCCTCTGTGGGTTTAAAACCCAACAACACTCAGAATTAAACTCAAGGTCCGAGGCCAGCAGGAATACTGTCTGCTCTCAGCTGTATTTCATCAAATGTGTACGAGCCTCAGCTAGATCCACTTTCACCGAAGTAACACCTTAACCAAACATGTTTCAGTGTTTTCATCAGATATCCTTCCACGAGATTATGGAGCTTCTTTCACTTCATGTGCAAATGCATTTAAATCCTGGTTGCAGGGCTGATTAGATGAAGCAGCTCATTGAAGCAGGATCCTGAAAACAGAATTGTTGGGCCATGCATCCATCAAAACAGCAACCAGCACAGTATTTTTGTGGTGGGGGGAGGGGAAACCAAAGTCCTGAAGTGAATGTGAAGCTTTGACGTGTTGAAGAACAGAAGTGTGATTCTTCCAGAGAACTGCACTTGTAGCTGAACATCAGTAGAGTTCATATAACATAGTGGTACAAACAAGGTTCTGCTTTACATACCTGCCTTACAGTGAAAACATCCAGATTAGGAATACATTATTATCACTGGATTATGTAAAATAATCACATTTAACAACTTAATTTATAAATTAAAAGCATGGAGGGGTGACCTCTGCAGGTTGTTAAGAGAAAAATAAAAAATACTGTAAAAACAGGAACTATACAAGTGGTCATTGAGAAGGCACTCAGCTACTAAAAGTCATTACAGTGTGTGTGTGTGTGTGTGTGTGAGGTGGGTTGTCCTCACTGATGCAGGATTTATTGATCCTCTTCAGGCTATCAAACCTTTAGTTTAGGACAAAAAACTTTTGCGTGTCTGCTGCTCTGCAGCTGTTGTGTGTCAACCATGTGTCTGTTGTGTGTCAACCATGTGTCTGTTCTACCATGTGTCTGTTCTACCATGTGTCTGTTCTACCAAGTGTCTGTTCTACCATGTGTCTGTTGTGTGTCAACCATGTGTCTGTTCAACCATGTGTCTGTTCTACCATGTGTCTGTTCTACCATGTGTCTGTCTGTTCTACCATGTGTCTGTTCTACCAAGTGTCTGTTCGACCATGTGTCTGTTGTGTGTCAACCATGTGTCTGTTGTGTGTCAACC